AAATTATATATTTATATTAATATATAATTAATAATATATAATTAATATATAAATAATAATATAATTAATTATATATAATTAATAATAATATAATTAATAATATATAATAAATTATATATTTATATTAATATATATTTATGTTAATATATAAATATTAACTCACACAATTGCAAAGTCCCACAAGGCCCCACAATAGGCTATCTGCAGGCTAAGGAGCAAGGAGAGCCAGTCTGACTTCCAAAATGGAAGAACTTGGAGTCCAATGTTTTAGGACAGGAAGCATCCAGCATGGGAGAAAGATATAGGCTGGAAGACTATGCCAGTCTTTCTTCACATTTTTCTACCTGCTTATATTCTAGCCTTACTGGCAGCTGATTAGATGGTGCCCACCCAGATTAAGGGTGGGTCTGCCTTTCCCAGTCCACTGACTCAAATGCTAATCACTTTTGGCCACACTCTCACAGAAACACCGAGGATCAATACTTTGTATCCTTCAATTCAATCAATACTTTGTATCCTTCAATTTAATCAAATTGACACTCAGTATTAACCATCAATGTATCTGATACTTCTGTCTCCTACTTTTTTATAGAATAGAATAAGAATTGAAGATTTCCATACCAACTCCTGAGCAGAACTACACATGGCTTTTGTACCTGCTGGTCACTCTCTTTTTCCATAATAGGCTCTTCCTCATTCTTCTGGCCTCACCTCTAAGATGCATCCTTCTCTGACCACCACTGAACTCCCAGCCCCCTGTGACCACCTTCTTCTAGCTGCCCACATCCCTCCCTATTACTGTGATAAATGTGCCTTTTCCTCTGCTTAGTGTTGCCTCCTCACTGAGACTTGACAGCTATACTCTTTCACGGCCCCTAGGAATTTCTGCTTTTCTATGGGGATTTTCGCTCTTCTCACTAGCCGTGACTGAAAAATTAGTGAGGTTATCATGGATTATGACCCATCAGCCCATTCCTTGAAACAGTCCTTACCTACAAATTTCTCTCAGGATGTCTTTCTAGGGAGAGCTTGATCCACCCTCCTCTCCAGCCAGCAGCTCCAGAATTCCTACAGCCTTGGAAGAGAGCATATAACTCAGACAGCTTCAGAATCCCCAGTCAGAATCAGCTAATTATTGACGTAGGGTAACTTTGGTGGCTTACAAAGGGTAACATCCTCCTAGCCAAGTTTATAAACTTTACAACATTAGAGCATTTGAGGCCAACTTGATTTGCACTTTCAGTCCAAGGGGCCTGAGGCAGGTTTATGCCCAGGAATGACAGAAAATTATTGCTTCAGCCAAACAGAGAGAAATGGAGCTCACATAGGCTTGATGAACGCTCTTTTAATTCTTTGCTTTGCTTGGTCCCATCATATCACTTTTGACTGGTTTTCCATCTCTTTTGCTTATTCCCCCTCATCTTTATCCATGTTCACTCTGTACATTATCTCAACAACTGTCATAGCTTGGATACCATGTGGCTTGCCAATGGCCCCCACATGTGTGTCTCCAGCCTGGATTTCTCTCCTGTGTCCTCATCTACTTGACTTCACCTGGATGTTTAACAGGGATCTCAAACATACTTTGTTCCAGCATACTTTGTTGATCTTATCCTTCCCTGTCCTCCCCCATTCCAGGTGTGGTTTTATCCATCTCAGCAAATGACACTCCTATTCTTCAAGTTCTTCCAACATCAAATCTTGAAGACTTCCCTCACTCTTTTCTTTCATACATGGATGTGAAAAAGCCATCAGATCCACCTTCAGGCTATGTTCAGAGTCTGATGCATTCTCTTCCCTGTTCCAACCCAACACTGTGCTAAGTCCAAAACTCAACAGGGAAAATCAACTCTTTATGTCCCTTTATATTTGTTTTTTTTTGAAACAGCGTCTCTCTGTTGCTCAGGCTGGAGTGCAGTAGTGTGATCACAGCATTTTGCAGCCTCCAACTATCAGGCTCAAGCAACCATCCCACCTCAGCTTCCTGAGCATCTGGGATTACAGGCACATGCCATTATGCCCAGCTAATTTTTTAATGTTTTGTAGAGACTGGGTCTCACTATTGTTGTTCAGGCTGGTCTCAAACTCCTGAACTTAAGTGATCCTCTCATCTTGGCCTCCCAAAGATTACAGGTATGAGACACCATGCCTGGCTAACATTGCCTTAAAGCTGGTCTCAGCCCATGCTTCAGCTCTCTCAGGCTAGAGTGGCAAATTGGTGATTCTACAGTTCTGTGTCTTGAAGGTGGCCCCACTTCCATGGCTTCATGAGGCAGGATCTAGCCCCATATTTTGTGCCTGTGCATCCAGACTTTCCAATACATCCTCTGAAAGTTAGGGAAGCCACAAAGCATCTATGGCTCCTACATTCTGGGTGCCTGCAGAATGAAAACCATGTCGACACTGCCAAAGTTTATGGCTTGCATTCTCTAGAGCAGTTGCTTGAGCAGTGCTTGGGGGTAATTTGAGCCACGGTTAGTCTGGAGCAGCCTGGATTCAGGGAGCAGCATCCTGAGGTGGTGCAAGGAAGCAGTAGAATAAAACCATTCTGTCTTTTTTGGTCTCTGGGCCTGTGATGGGAGGAGCAACATCAAAGGTTTCTAACATACCTTTGGAACTTTCTTTCTATTATCTTATTAGCACCAGGCCACCTTTTAGTCATGCTTTAGCATATTTTGTTCTGACACATCCTTGGACTCCTCTCCTGAAGATTCTCTTTACTTCTCTACCACTATGTCGAAGAATTTTCCAAATTTTAATGATCTTCTTCGTCTTTAATTATAAATGCAGACTTTAGGTCAGTCCTTTGCTGTCAAGATTTAGCATAAGCTGTTAAAAGCAACCATGAACACTTCTTCAACACTTTGCTGCTTAGATATCTCTTCCACCATACATCATAAGTCATCACTCTTAGTTCAGCTTTCCACAAAGCCTTAGGGCATGAGCACAATGCACCTGTGCTCTTTGCTACAGAGTTGCATGGATGAACTTTGCTCCAGTTCCCATTTCTATGACTTTCCATCATGGCCTGTACTGTCTATATTTCTCTCAGCATTGTAAAAAAAATAAAATTTAGGGCCGGGGCAGTGGCTCATGCCTATAATCCCAGCACTTTGGGAGGTTGAGGCAGGCAGATAACCTGAGGTTGGGAGTTTGAGACTAGCCTGACCAACATGGAGAAACTTCATCTTTACTAAAAATACAAAAAATTAGCCAGGCATGATGGTGCATGCCTGTAAGTCCAGCTACCTGGGAGGCTGAGGCAGGAGAATCACTTGAACCCGGGAGGTGGAGGTTGCGGTGAGCCGAGATTGCACCATTGCACTCCAGCCTGTGCAACAAGAAGGAAACCCCATCTCAATTAAATAACCAAACAAATAAATACATAATACATATATACATAACTAAATAAATAAACTAGAATAAAATTTAGGACCTTCCAGATTTATCATACAAAAGGGAAAATTTAGGCCTTGCAAGTTGACTTATGTAACACAAGTTCCCCCGACTCTGGTGCATGACTCTTGCTTTCTGACCTTTGTCTTGAGATGTTTTACATTAACTAGACTTGTCTTTAATTAAACCTGAGCTAAACAGTGTGAAGATAGAGACCTTTGTGCCTTTGTGACTGTCTCCTTTTAACAGGATATTAAACTCTCCTCTTAGAGTGTAATCAAAAGTAGCCAATCAAAACTTTTTTTTTCTTTTCTCAGAGACAGAGTTTTGCTTTGTCGCCCAGGCTGGAGGGCAGTGGCATGATCTCAGCTCACTGCAACCTCTGCCTGTCAGGTTCAAGCAATTTTCCTGCCTCAGCCTCCCAAGTAGCTGGGACTACAGGTGTACGCTGCCATGCCCAGCTAATGTTTTGTATTTTTTTAGTCAAAACAGTGTTTCACCATGTTGCCCAGGCTGGTCTCGAACTCCTGAGCTCAGGCAATCTGCCTGCCTCAGCTTACCAAAGTGCTAGGATTACAGGCGTGAGCCATTATGCCTGGCCACCAATCAAATCAAAGTGTTGTAATTTTGTTCAGCAACTTCATTTTGCCAGTACAAGCAATCCTCATTTTCCCCTCCACCAAGAGCACTGCTCAACATTCATAGGAATAGCTGTGCTCCTTGGATGACTGCACTCATACTCTGTGCTTGAATGAGTTCTTTTAACTAGATATTGAGTCTTCTGATTATTTTAGGTTGACAGCATTTTGGATCACAATCATTTAGCCAATCTCTAAGACATTCCAAACTTTCCCTCAACTCTTTGTCTTCTTCTGAGCCCTCCAAATTCTTCCAACCCCTTTTCATTGTTCAGTTCCAAAGCTGCTTCCACATTTTCAGATATCTTTACAGAACACCCTACTCCCTGGCACCAGTTTTCTGTTTTAGTCCATTTTTTGTTGCTATAAAGAAATATCTGAGGCCAGGCACGGTGGCTCACGCCTGTAATATCAGCACTCTAGGAGGCCGAGGCGGGTGGATCATGAGGTCGAGAGATCAAGACCATCCTGGCCAACATGGTGAAACCCTGTCTCTACTAAAAATACAAAAATTAGTCAGGCGTGGTGGCGCACCCCTGTAGTCCCAGCTACTCGGGAGGCTGAGGCAGGAGAATTGCCTGAATCCAGGAAGTGGAGGTTGCAGTGAGCCAAGATTGCGCCACTGCACTCCAGCCCAGTGCCTGGCGATGGAGCGAGACTCTATCTCAAAAAAAAAAAAAAAGAAAGAAAGAAAGAAAGAAAGAAAGAAAGAAATATCTGAGGCTGGGTAATTTATTTCCAAAATGTTTATGAGGCCCATGATTCTGATGGCTAGAAATTTCAAGATTGATCATCTGCATCTGGCAAGGGCCTCAGGATGCTTCTATTTATGGTAAGAGGTGAAAGAGAGCTGGTGTGTGCATGGATGACATGGTGAGAGACGAAGCAAGAGAGACAGTGGGGAATTGTCAGGCTCTTTGCAACAACCAGCTCTTGTGGGAAATAATAGGATTGGACTCACTCACTCCCATGGGAAGTCATTCATGTATTCATGAGGGATCCTTCCTCATGATTCAAACACCTGTTAGGCTCCACCTCAAATTTCAACATGAGGTTTGTTGGGAGCAAACATCCAAACTGGAGCACCCCAGAACACTTTTCTTCTCAGAAATGTCTGTCCTTATCAGTTAGTCAACAAATATTGACTGAGTGCTACTCTCAGGTAGACACAGAGGTGACCATGCCAGATTCATTCCTGTTCGGAAATGAGACAGAGAATAACATGTAAAATGATTACGTTCATTTTAAATACTGTGAAGGGTAAGTCAGAGGTCAGATCATGTCACACCTCTGCTCAGAACCCACCAGTGAATCTCAGTGTCCTGCAAAACTAACATCAGAGTTTTTACTTCATTATTCAAGGTCCTGTATGATCTTCACACACTCTTTTCATCTCTGGTTTGATGTCCTGTTCCTTTGCCTCTTATTCACTGCACATCAGTTACGCTGGCTTTCTTCCTGTTCCTTGAAGGCGCACCTCTGTCTTAGAGTATCTGCACTTGCTGTTTCCTCTTCTGAGACTGATTTTTCACAGATATCTGCATGTATAACTCCCCTTCCTGCTTTATTTCTTTGCCAAATATTTTTGTCAGATTCTAAATGAAGCTTACCTTGACTGCCTTCTTAAAATGGCAACCCACCTCCAAGTTGGTTTTTCCTCCTCCTCCTCCTCATTACTAGGCACTATTTTCCCTAATACTCACTTCCTGCTAAGCTATCTACTTACTATTTTTGCCTCTCTCTCCTTCCATTAGAATCTAAGCTTCATGAAGACAGATTTTTTTTTCTTTTGCCCATTTTGTTCAATGAGTTAGCTCAAGGACTTTTAACAGTAGCTAGCACACAGTAAGTACTCAGTAAATAGCTGAGTGAATAAATAAGGGCTGTAAAGAAAAGAAAACATGTTGTTATAACAATGTGTGTGCCTGTGTGAAGTGTGTAGCTGTGTATTGAGATAGCCTAAGTGCGTGTATGTATGTTTTTATGTGTGCACATGTGACTGTGTGGGATGTATGTATAGCTGTTATGTGTGTGTGTGGTTCTGTGTGTGAAGATGTGTGTGAGATTGTGCACGTGTTTGTGCACGTGTGTCTATGAGTGTGTCAGTACATGGGCGTGTGTGAGACTGTGTATGTGCATTTGTGTGCAAGTGTGTGTAGTGCTATGTGAGCAGGTGTACAGGTGTTTAAGTATACTTGCATGCATGTGTGTTGGTAGATGTGGATGTGTGTGAATATATGTGTGCAAATGTGTATGTGATTATGTTTGTGACTGTCGTGTGTATGTAGCTCTGTAGTTTAGTGTACGTCTATGTATCTGTGAGTTTGGCACTGTAAGTGTTAAGTGTGTGTATTCATGTGTGTGAGTGTGGGGGGGCTAGAAGTGTGACTAGATATTAGTGTGTGCTTGCATGTGTGTCTATGCGTGGCAGTGAAATTGCAGATGTATGTGTGTCTGTATTTGTATTTGTGTGTGTGTACATGTGTCTGTGTGCAAGTCCTAAATAGCACTCACACTATTTACAATGGTCTGAAAACACCTCCCTGAATGGTCCCTTGGACCTGGCCACTGGGGACACTGCCAAGTCATGATGCTGGACTTTACTGAGTTTCTTTTCCTTTCTTTCTGTTTTTCAAATTTTGTCCTTTAGACACTTTTCAGGATAGCATATTCCAGTGGGAAATCTGTGAGGTGGAAAATCAAAATTTTCCTGATGACTTTTTTAAAAGGATAACAGCTAGCTTATATCTTCAGTGTTGAATAGATGTGCTCACATGTAATCTTAACAGGAACTATGCAGGAGAGGTATCCAGAGCCCCATTTTATAGATAAGTAAATTGAGGCCAGAGAGGACAAGCAACTTAGCTAAGCTCCCACAGCTGGTAAGTGCTACAGGAGGACTCAGATCTGACTTCAAAGTCCAGTGTACTTCTTTTTTGTTTTTGTTTTTATTGCATTTTAGGTTTTGGGGTACATGTGAAGAACATGCAAGATTGTTGCATAGGTACACATGTGGCAGGGAACACCATGTTTCTGCAAAGAGCCATTTTAAAAGAAAAGAATCTGAAATGGTCACTGTTGGAGGCTGTGCACAATCAACTGGGTGCCTCTGTGTCCCTAGAATCTGACCCACAATGGGGACTCAGTGTTTGGGGAAAATAGAAAAAGTGCTGGAGTTGCTGGAGAAACTCTGGGAGCAGAACTCCATGGTGGGGGCTCAAAATTTCCCCGGGCAGGAGGTTTTGAGTCAGGAATCAGAACCATCCTGGGAAAAACAAGATTTTCTTTATCACGTTCCACCTCTGATTGTCTCAGGAAGTCTTTGGTGGCCTGGCTGGATGGATCCAAGGTTTTAAAGGCAGCCTAGGGCAAGAGACAATCCCTGAGAATTGCCATCAGAAGACTTATTTAAAATCCTTGCTGTACCACTTACCAAATGAACACACACACTGACCTGCTGTGTCTCAGCTTCTTCCTGTACAAAATGGGGATAAAAATAGCATCTATCTGGTAGGGTTACAGTAAAGCCTGGGTAAGACAATCCTGGAGGCTTTTCACTTGTCCTGATGCCAGAGGAGTGTGACGCTGCACCTTTAAGACTCTTAGAGGTGGAGAACAAGGCAAAATGCTAGATTTCTGCAAAGCCTTATGTTTGATCTAAAAAACCTGTTCCAAAGTATCCATGTGCTTCAGGAGATAACCATGCCTCTGCTTCTCACTTTTAGAGTTGGGGGCTGCATCTGACAAGTGGCTGTGGTTTCAGCTCTCTGGAGTTCCACTTTTTTTCTCTTCCACGAAGTTTGTTCACTGCAGTTTGAAGAGCCGAGGCACATGAGAAATACCAGGTACATAATTAGTGCTTTGGAAAGAAACTGCTATCTCTATGATTAATGGCAGCTTTTGTGAGGCAACTCATCCAGAAACCACATGCATGAAGGTGGGAAACTCACCAGTCGTCTGGGGTGGGAGATCTTAATGTCCCCTACTGAAAATGGGATTGCGAACTGAGTAATAGCAAGTAGGAATAACATTTATTGGTTGGGCGCAGTGGCTCATGCCTGTAATCCCAGGACTTTGGGAGGCTGAGGAGGGTGGATCACAAGATCAGGAATTCAAGACCAGCCTGGCCAGCGTGGTGAAACCCCATCTCCACTTTAAAAATACAAAAATTAGCTGGGCGTGGTGGTGGGTGCCTATAATCCCAGCTACTCATGAGGCTGAGCAGGAGAATCACTTGAACCCAGGAGGCAGAGGTTGCGAGGAGCAAAGATCGTGCCATTGCACTCCAGTCTGGGCAACAAGGGTGAAACTCCATCTCAAAATATCTATCTATCTATCTATCTATATATCTATATATATATATATAGAGAGAGAGAGAGAGAGACAGCATTTAGTGTGCCACAAATTATGCAGGTGTTTCATTTAACCACCTCTAGCAGTTATCTATTATCATCCCCATTTCAGCATGTGGAAACTGAGGCTCAGACAGTTTAAGTCAGCCGCCCAAGGAGGCAACTGGCACCACAAGACTTGAACCCAGGCCTGTTTCACATCATGCCTAACTCTTAACCACTCTGCTGATGCCCCAACACCTGCATCCTCAGTGTCTGAATTGAAAAATATGGGAAACTGAGAAACAAATGCATGTTTTGATGTTGACGGGCCTGGCATTCAAATCCCATCTCTGCAGCAGCTCTGAAAACAGCTGGGCAAGTTTGGGCAACTGAATCCACCTTTCTGAGCCTCAGATTTCTCTTCTGTAAAATGGGGATTACCAGGTGATTTTTTCTGTCTCAGGGCCTTTGAACCTGCCTTTCTGTCTCTGGGACAGTATCCTCCCTGACCTCCACATCTGCACAGCTTGCTCCCTCACCTTTCAGTTTGCTCAAACATCATCTTCACAAATCCTTTCCTGGCTACACTATTTAAAATCCCGCACCACCCTCCTATTCACCACTTGTACTTTATTTTCCTCCTTAGCACTGACACCATCTGACATACTCTAATTTTTTAAATTAGATTTGTGCAAAAGTATAGAGATGTGGAAAAAGAGGCTTAGAGAGGGAAAGTCACCTGCCTGTCTACAAAGTAAGACTGTTAGATTTCTATTGGGAATTTTTTAGCATTCAAGAAAAGAAACAGATACATTCATCTGAAGAGAAAAAAGAGGTGAACAGTCTTCAGGTGTAATTTGTGCTGGACACCTCCTCAGCTTCCTGTTCTCCTCAATTATTATTGTATTTTTCATTCATTCATTCATTCATTCATCCATCCATTCAATGACTATTTACTGATACCTACTAGGCAGCAGGTCCCGATATGGGCATTAGGATGACAGACAAGACTGTGATCTAGCCCATGATTTAGAAGAGTCCACAATCTACTAGGAAAGACAGGCAAAACAAACATAAAACAATAAGCAATAGCAATGAGCTATGACACCCATGAAAGAGAATGTTAAATGGGGATTCCTCTGTTGTCTCAGAATCTTGGCTGAAGCTCCAAGGGGAGACCAGGATAACAGATAACTGCAGTTTAATGAGAGGGTGCCACATGACATACTCAGAAGTAATCCCAACTTGACTTTGGAGCTTCACCCACCTCCAGCCTGTATATGACAAAAGGCTACTGAAAAAGCCAGCAGGTGGGCTTGATGGAAGGGAATTGTAACCACCCAATGGGCTCACATTGCCTACTGACTAGGCAGAGCCTATTTATCCAGACAGGGGAATTGCCATGCCGAAAGAGTAATTCACACAGAGCCAGCTATGCAGGAGACCAGAGTTTTGTTATTACTCAAATCAATTTCTCCAAGCATTTGGGAATCAGAGATTTTAAGGATAATTTGGTGGGTAAGGGCTCTGAAAGTGGGGAGTGCTGGTTGGTCAGGATGAAGAAGAAATCATAGAGGATCAAAGTGAGTTCATCTTGCTGACATTTGTTGCTGGGTGGGATTGCAAAACCGGCTGAGCCAGGTTATCGGTCTCGTTGGTGTCATCTGCTGCATCGGAATGCAAAATATCGCAAGCACTGATCTAAGGTTTTGCAACAGTAATGTTATTCCCAGGAGCAATTTGGGGAGGTTCAGACTCTTGAAACCAGAGGCTGCTTGGCCTCGAACTGTGTAATTTCTAATCTTGTAGCTAATGTGTTAGTCCTACAAAGGGAGACTGGTCCCCAGGCAAGAAGGGGTTTTGGGGGAAAGCGTTATTATCAATTTTGTTTCAGAGTTTAAACTATAAACTAAATTACTTCCCAAGGCTAGTTTGGCCTATGCCAAGGAATGAACAAAGGCAGCTTAGAGATTAGAAGGAAGATGGGGTCGGTTAGGTCTGATCTCTTTCACTGTCATAATTTCCTCAGTTATGATTTTTGCAAAGGCAGAATTGTTTGTCTTTTAGGAAGGGCTGAGGGGCTGTGTTCCACCACAGCACTGGTGGGCAGGTATTTCAAGAAAATAACTTGTGCTAATAACTAACAGCTCTGGGCACTTATCTGTACACTTTAGAAATACAAACTCTTGGCTGGGCATGGTGGCTCACGCCTGTAATTCCAGCACTCCCAGCACTTTGGGAGGCTGGGATTACCTCCCAAAGTGCTGATCACCTGAGGTCAGGAGTTCCAGACCAGCCTGGCCAACATAGAGAAACCCTGTCTCTCCTAAAAATACAAAATTAACTGGGCGTGGCAACCCACGTCTGTGATTCCAGCTACTTGGAAGGCTGAGGCAGGAGAATCGCTTGAACCCGGGAGGCAGAGGTTATGGTGAGCCGAGATCACGCCATTGCACCCCAGCCTGGGCAACAAGAGCAAAATTCTGCCTCAAAAAAAAGAAAAAAGAAAAAAGAAATATAAACCCATTTGATTCTCAGAACAACCCAATCAGTAGATGTTACATCGCCCCTATTTGATTGACTGGAGCAATGAGGTACAAAGAGGTTGAATATCATGCTCAGTGCTGCACAGATAGAAAGTGCAGGAGCTGATATTCAAGCATCAGTGTGACTCTAGAGTCTATATCTTGCATTGTAAAGGAATACTGGTGTTTCCCCTGTGAAAGGAAAATATCTTGGGCCCCCAAAATCACTTGGCCAAAAGGAAAACTCAAGCTGAAAACTGCTTAGGACAACCTGCCTCTCATTCTATTCAAAGTCATCCCTCTGCTCACAGAGATAAATGCATATTGGGTTACATCAGTTTTCTCCAAAATAGGTTTTGCAAGGTGGTTTTAGTCAAGCAGTTTTCATGTTCATGATTATATGGATATGCATTAAGAAAATAATTCCAGACTTGTCCTTTTTTTTTTTTTTTTGAGACAAAGTTTCCTTCTTGTCAGCCAGTCCGGAGTGCAATGGCACCATCTCAGCCCACTACAACCTCTGCCTACCAGGTTCAGACAATTCTCCTGCCTCAGCCTTCCAAGTAGCTGGGACTACAGGCATGCACCACCATGCCTGGATAATATTATATTTTCAGTAGAGGCAGAATTTTGCCATGTTGACCAGGCAGGTCTTGATCTCCTAACATCAGGTTATCCACCTGCCTCGGCCTCCCAAAGTGCTGGGATTACAGGTGTGAGCCACTGCACTTGGCCTACAGACTTGTCCTTTTAGGAATATTATATTGCACGAGGTGAAGACTTTTTTTTTTTTTTTTTTGAGACGGAGTTTCGCTGTTGTTACCCAGGCTGGAGTGCAATGGCGCGATCTCAGCTCACCGCAATCTCCGCCTCCTGGGTTCAGGCAATTCTCCTGTCTCAACCTCCTGAGTAGCTGGGATTACAGGCACGCGCCAACATGCCCAGCTAATGTTTTGTATTTTTAGTAGAGACAGGGTTTCACCATGTTGACCAGGATGGTCTCGATCTCTTGACCTCGTGATCCACCCGCCTCGGCCTCCCAAAGTGCTGAGATTACAGGCTTGAGCCACCGCGCCCGGCCAAAGACTTTTTTTTTAAAGTGAGTTTAATTATAGTGCAAATAGTATGTGGATAGGGCTACATGCATGAGAGCAGGGCGAAAGTAAAGGTAGAGAATATGAGTTCGATTTCTGCAAAAACTGTAGCACAATGCCTGGCATAGAATATATTTTCCATAAAGTGATGGTGATAGTGCTCTGGACCAAACTGAGGGTCGGGCTGCTATTTCTCATGACCCAACAGCGAGATGCAGATGAACTGGGGAGGAAGAGAGTTTTTATTTCTGCAACTAGTTACAGAGAGAAGGCCTGGAAATTATCACCACACCAACTCAAAATCACAAAGTTTTCCAGAGCTAATATACTTTCTAAGCTACACGGCTATGTGTAAGTGTGTATTCACTTAAATACATAAGTGATTAATTTCTTTTAATCTATAGCTGAGGTCTGAGTCCTGAAGACCTTATTCTGGAGCCTCAGTAAATTTACTTAGTGGGCCCAAGTGCTGGGGTGATTACTCTTATCTTGTCTCCTGCTAAATCATAGAGGTTTGGAGAGTTCCTTCAGATTCCCAAATAAACTTGTTTGTGGAAGCCTGAGGAGTTTCTTCAGACCCCCAATAAAACTTAACCATAAATGGGTCCTGCTAAGAATTCCTTTGTTATTTTGTCATGCTTTAAGGTTCAGGAAAGGCCTAGGAAAAATTCTTTGTGGGCTTTGGTTACATTTCAGCCTTTGTATAAGGGCACTGGCTTTTTTAGCTTTTAATATTTAACTTAGCCACTCAGTCAGTACTGAAGCAATTGTTATGGAGGTCTACGTTAGTGAGACCTGGCCTGTCACAGTAGCAGTGGTTGGTGCTGCTGTTATGATCAGTGATTCTGGGGCTGGGGGTGCTGGAGGAAAAGTGTGGGCTATGTGGATGGTT